CATCATCATTGTTTCGTTTTCAGCGTTGTGTCGGTTCTGGGTTATTTTTTAAACTATACAAGACTAACGAAGGAATATACATTAATAACCATCCGTTAGAAGAAAGACCGAGAAATAAAACTTGAATAAATATTCACCATTTTCATTTTTATTTTTTATTTTATCTTTTGATATATAGGTCTTTTGATATCTGAGCTTATCTTGACTTTTTTCAGTTTTCTTGTTGTTTTTATTCGCTCCCTTTGTATGTTTATCGTTTTTGTTCCATATTATGTTTTCAGGTTATATTATCTTGTTTTACTTTCTCTTATGCACCCACTTAATATGTTTTAGTGTTCTTTTTATTGGGCATATTTTCAAAACTCGCAATCTTAAATATTCAAAAGCAAACTATATCAAGGGTAAAACGGCCAAAAATGCGAGGAAACAACATTATTTGACAGGTTCCAGGAGGGAAGTAAAGAAAAAAATATCGAACAAACACATGTATATATGATTAGAGACGGCACAAACATATATTTTTTGTATGTGCGCATTGCGTGAATATTTGTCAATTTCATTAGTGGCAATTACATGTGTTTTTACGTGTTTTCTTAAAGTTTCTTTCGTTTTCGTTCACTTATTTCATTCATATATTTTCGTTCTCCTTCTCATTAGCCGGTTTACTTTGGACTGTGTTCTAATTTTTTTTCGCAATGAGTGGTTTACACGCTCATCGGGGTCTCCAATTGCAATACATTATTCAGATTCCAAAGAGCTTGGAAACAAACAAAAATAGGTGTATTGTATTGTAGTATATCGTAGGGTTGAGTAGGCTAGGCTAGGCTAGGCTGGGCTGGGTGGGGTAGGGTAGGTTGGTTAGTTTGGGTTGGGTTATGTCATTCTGGTTGAAAACGAATGCCAACATTTCCTATCCGATTTTATATATTTTGGAAGTAGGCCTATGTGTCACTTTGTCGCCATAATGGCATGGAAGGTAATCTTGCGAGTGGAATACTTAATGAAAAAATATGGCTGCTTAACATTCTCTGTATTTTCAAAACCAAAGATAAGTGTGCAAGAGATACCGCACTTACTGGAACTTCGTCTCCCGAAAAAGGTCTAAAACTCGTGCAGAACATGTCTTCCAAGGAAATCTGAGATGACGTCATAAGGATCAGGGCAAATGCTGTTTTCTGATTGGTAGAAGCTGTCGCAGGTCCCGCCCCCCAGGCCCGTGACAATCCCTTCTTCGTATTGCGCCAAGTCGGAGAATCGGCTCCTGTTGAAAGGGAATAAGGGGGACGCATAAGTGTGGGGGGATTATTATGGCAATGCATGTCTCAGGATGAGTCTACACTTCTCTCTTTCACTTCTCTTTTGTGCGTATGAGTGCGAGTGTGGTGTGGATGTTGATGTCGTGTGGATTCAGGAATGGGCGTGCACATGAGCGTTTCTGTGTACCATTCTCTCCGATCAAACTTACGTAATCATCACCAACAACCCCCTCACGCCTGCAGGTAAGTCCATCAAGTATAAATGGGCGTGGCACACAAGAGCCATCTGGCACTCGATCCTCGTCACTCCCAGGCGGCCGAGGACGACGCTCAGACTCGGCCGCTCGTGCTTGAACCTCCGCCAGAGGGCCTCGAAGTAGCGGCTGAGGCCCCGGCGCGAGCGACTCCGCCTCCGCTTCCGGCTGGACGCAGGTCGTTCCTTCGCGAGTCTCGGGGTCTCGGGCGTCGGGAAGTCCTCGCCTTCCTCGAGACGAACGCCCTCCTCGCGCGGGCGTGGAAGGTCTTGACTCCCAGTTGGTGGGCCGTGGGCGTGCAGGGATCTTGGAGACGCGTGCGAGGTGTGGGCCGAATAAGGGAGGATGAACGACAGGTAGAGCGTGAGGAGCGTGAGGGTCGCCAGGCTGAACCCCACCAGTAGCTCTTTCCGGGAGGACACCTGTGATGGGGAGGGTAGAGAAGTTACTTTTTGCGTCTTTGTATTTCTTTTCTTTTATCTATCTTTCAATTTCATATTTAGTCGAATTTTGTATTAACCTGTATTGTAATATTTGGCAGGAATCTACTGCAGTAATGTAATAACTTGCTTTGTTTTACTACGATACCGTTACAGTTCGTTGTCTTTAAACTGGAATTTTGTTCCATTTTTTCCAGTCAACAATGCACCGTCGTGCTAACATCTAATCAGCATAAATTCCCCTTCTAACCCCCCTGCCCCCCAACCCCACCCAACACATCTACTCATACTGTCCCTATTCCCCAAACCTCCCACCTCCTCCCTACTTCCCCTTCCTCACCTGGATGTTAGCCAAGTCCGGTGGAACATGAGTATTCACCCCGAAGTGGATGGGCACGTCCCCCTTGGTCTCCAGCCACTCCCGCTTGGCCTCCTCCGTGCCCCAAGTGTCCAAAAAGAAAATGTTGGCCAAGTCCATCACCGCGACCATCTTGATGCCAACGATGCAGGTGGGCATGCGCATGACCGTGGCTTGAGAGGATAAAGTGGTTTATTGGGTGTGTAAAGATGTTATAGGCCTGTAAGGAGAACGAATGCACGGCAAAATGAAAGTTTATTCTTATATTCACTTTTCATTCTGCGCTTATTAGACGATGTGTTGCATTTTAACTTATGCTGCATCTTAAATATATTGTTTTGTATAGTGGATAACGAATATCAATATACTTATTTCATACCTAGATAAATTTTAAACAAATATGCGAGATTAACGTATTGCAGAATAACTTGTACCATATATTTCGAAAAATTCACATCAAAATAAATGGAACAAAAATGACCAACATTATTCACATCCTCCGGGTCTCACCTGGCGAGGGGCACGCAAGAAATACATACATAGACTATCTATAAAGGTGGCAAACCCCGAACACAGGATGCATAGATACACAACTCCCCGCAACCGAACATATCTTTTACATTTCTTACTTTCGTTTCATACCTTCAGGATTTTTCAGTACTTACCTCCGTCCTAAGCCGATGTCCGAAAGTTGGGCTGCCTTTTTAAGTTGAACTAGCTCAGAAGAAGCCGATTTTGCTCTGTTTTCGTCTCGCCCTTGTGCTAAGGATTCGAATCATGCATGTGAACAGGGAAACGAACCCTGGGTGAGTTGGTGTGTTACTGGCGCCCTTGTTGATGAGCCTTTGTTGGAGCTACAAAACGGAAATGGATAATGAAACGGGTCAATCTGCTTTTTTAAAAACGTACTGTACCTGCGCATACATTTTACCTTTATTTAATTTTATTCGAATCATGCATTGGCTGATATATATGGGGCAAGCGAAGCAGCTGTCACATATCATAGATCTTACTCACCAAACTTTTTTTGTTCTTAAACTGTAAGAGTAAAACATCGTCCCTATATCAAAGAGAAAAACGAAGAAGCAGTAAAACCGAAAAAAATCATTTATGGAATTCTTAGATTTTTAATTCAAATTGTATTTATTTTTGTTCCCAGAGTATGTGACTTTGTTTTACTTTCCATCCCTCTTCGGAAGGGGAAAAAGGATAGATAGGACCACAGAAACTACCGGTAGGTATGTGAGGAAAAGGAATCATCTTCCATGAATCCTACATATGATTACTTCAACGGAAAGGGCTTGAAACTACCTTCAAAATGAGCCATAGATCACCTCTCTAGGACAAATATCGTGTTTTTTGCCAATTTAATGGGTAGCCAAATTCGGCCATTTGCGTTTTAATAATGTATTATAATTAATACAGTTAAAACAAAAGAGGTCGTGACCCAAAATGGCCTCTGTTTTTTGATGTCCTCATCTTTTCATTTTGCATCATGATGAGATTTAGTTAATTAATAATTGATTAGTTAATCAACGACAATCGGAAATGGTAAATAGCGATTACTCCATTAGCTTTTATTTTATTTTATTTTTATTTTATTGAATTTTCTTTCTTCTTTTATAAGGTTCTAGAATGACTTGATTGCCATGTGACCAGGTCATCGCCAGTGCGTTGAAAAAAGGGACTATCCAAAATCATTAAACATCGGCGTTATCAAACCATCTTAGTCCACATAAACTCATCAAACAGCTTTTAGACATACTTATTTAAACAATAAACACTGTATTTCTATGTTACATTGACGATTAATGCCGTATTTTGGCCCAGAACCCGAAGGAATTTTCAACAAAGCCGCTTCACATTGATAGCTTTGCACTTATGGAACCATCTATGTGTATATACATTTCACAGAACACTACTATATGTTCCTGGTAGCAACACGTTAACAAAGATTATCAAATAACTCTGTATTACATTTTTTCTTCTTATCTTAGCTTGAAACTAACCTTCGCGGAAGAACGGTAGTGGCACCAAGGTCTATATAAGTACTTATATAGACCTTGAGTGGCACAAGCCAACATTGCCATCGTTCAGCAGTCGGCGACTCGTGACAGAATGGAGCGAGTTTTATCGGCCCGGGAGTACCCTAGCAAGGTCTATATAAGTACTTATATACACCTTGTACCCTAGTGGCCAGATTAAGGCGCCGTATCTCCTTAAGGTGCCTTAACTTACGGCCGAGCGATCTTACATACACATACTCAGAGCAAGGGACCCGTCACATTGGTGCGAGTTAAGGCGCCTTAGGTTAAGGGAGGGGGAGAGCAGCCTTTGGCAATTTACGGCGGCGGGAAATCAACTCTTCGCTCTTATATAAGGGAAATACAGCAGGGCGGTTAAGGCCTCCAGCGCACCATAACCTAAGGCTCTTTTGAGAATCCGGCCCCAGGATTGGATACGGGTCCAGGCCGTACAGCATTCTGCGATCCGCCACACCATCGAGGTGGACGCGGCGCCCTACAGTTGCCTCCTGGGAGGACAATCCTTTTGGCCTCTTGGCTACACACAACTAGCCGTCTTCGGCCTTGTAGATCATCCCCAGCTTATTACTCGCCCTTTCATTTACTGGATGGTATTAGCGTAATCCAGGCTAGCCATTGCACTTCATCCCTCATCCCCAGAAGCATAGAGAATGTTCTCATCATCACCATCAACACTTTTCAACGCCTGCATGGACTAGACTATGGGTTAAGCTACTATCCACTCATTGTGGAGCAACACTGGACAATATCAAGACCTCTCTGCTGATAATGTTGCCTTTGCACGTCTGGAAACTGTTGTAGTGGTTCTTGTTATATTTAGCAATGGGACAAATCCCTTGGAGGCTTTTGGATCAAGACCAAGATCTAGCATTTGGGGACCTGCTAGAATATCTGTGTTTACGATATTACAGTCGTACAGATTTTACATGCCTTGATTTTTTCAACCACAGTATCAACACGGTAAAGTGTTTCATCATTCATCATAACTTGGTAGTGTAGATCATGAGCTGACAGGCCAAGAAGTCAGTTAACATCAGCTTGGCAGCAGGTGGCATGAATGCTGTCAAGAAGAGTATTTGGAGACACTGGTATCTGGGCAAAATGACAGTCTTCAAGGCCCGTAAACTACAAATTCTGCTTTACGGAAGTGAAACTCAAACATGTCCCATACCTTGGTGTCTCATATTATGCCTTTTTGAGACGCTCTTGCGTCTTGATCATGGGTTACAGTTGGCTGGCCGTTTACACTGTGCTGTGAGACCTGCACCTGGCTCAATCCTGCCTACCAGGTGGTCTCCTTTCGTGACAACCTTGAGTGAAGTAAGCTCATAGGACAATCTAGAAAGTCGTGGCTTGGGCTTATCTGTCAGATGTAATGAGAGATCCTCGGGGCTGAAAACGAAGGTGAATGCAGCTATACGCCTACCCACGTCGGCGGCACCCCTTAATTAATTAATTGATGTTTTCTATATACCCACCTCCATTGTAACCGTAAATTTGGATAGATCCATCATTTGCACCATGGAAGTGTTTAGTGCACGATTTGTGTGTTAATCATTTAAGAGAACAAAAATATGCTTCTGCAGTTTGAATCTTTTCCACATTTTTAACTCCATTTGTTTTTTGTGACATCTTTTCTCAAAATATAAAAATGTCTAAGTGACAAAAAATATATTTAATTTATTAATAACAGGCCTGCAAAGGTTAAAAGTTCGTCTTCTGGGAAATAATTGAGAGAAATATAATTATTTCTTAAAAGGATACACAATAGGAAACTACCCAGGTTTTGTGTAATTTTTCACCATCTGGATTTTGACCTGTGTTTATACAGGAAATAATAATCTTTATACTGGGAAAAACTTTATTTGCACACTATATATAACAATGCATGTTTTCTATAATGAAAATAAATCTTTCATCTTATATAAATATTCACACAATGGAGTATCACTGGTCTGACATCCCACAAAAAGGCAGATTATGGCTTTCTTTCTTCTGACAGTCTTGCCAGCAATACATGTTTTCCCTTTTGAAGTCAATGCATGCCAAAAGCGAAGATTGAGTTTAATAAGAGACAGGTAAACACATGGTTCTGGACAAACTAAGTCTGACTGAGGGCCTGTGACTTGCAGCTCCAACATCTCAGCAAGTCCTATCTAATTGAAAAAAGTATCTTGTGGTTCGCTGCCTTAAAAAGGAAACCACAATAAAGGGATATATAATTTTGCGCTGCCAGTGACACAGTATCCATGGAATACTGAATCACGGTTAAGTGCAAAGTAAATGCAATATAATGTGGATGGGATGGACGATAAATGTGGATTAACAAAGAAATTCAGGCCAGTTTTTGTAGTAAACTTGAGTGAAGAATCTGTGGCAAGTAAAGATGTTTCATGTACGAGATGCAGGTCTTGTTAGTAGTTCTTCTAGTTGTTCCAAATCCACTCTTGTTCTGAGAAACCCATCAAGTGTCTAACTTAAATGGAAGTACGTGAATGCAGAAACCTGTGAAAGACAGAAAAAAGAATTTTGCAACAAATAAATTATATATATAATTATTTTTTATATAAAAAAATTTGAATGAGTATAAACCCAGCATTGGTAAATAATGAATTCAAACATCCCTATTACTACTCACTACTTATTCAAAACATAACCACTAACCACCGAGGTTAAACTAACAACATACAATAACTGCAACTATTTGTATTCACTAATAACAGTCACACAATAACAAATAAGGCTGCAACCATTAGTGCCTTTCATATAATGGATATATGGCAAATCTACTGGATGATTTTTCTCTCTTTCACATGCATATAAGCATCCTTATGCATTACTTTACAGTGAGTTATTAATTCCCATGTTGCAGTCTTAATTATGTAATTTGTAAAAAAAAAAAAAAAAAAAAAAAAAAAAATGCTCCTTGCTCAAAACACACACACACACACACACAAAAGTCACCAGAGGAAAACTTCGGACCGACTTTCACCTTAAAAAAAATAATAATAATACAACACACTTAAATGATGATAAACATTCACCATATTATCCTTGTGAAGATAATACGACAAAGCCTAAAAAATGTGCACTACTAAAACATACTCTGGCCGTTACAGCCTGACAGTGGGAGAAGTGTACACATGG